GCAGGGGTAGTTACCCTGTGGAAACTGGTAAACACTACGAACTGGGACGTTTTTCTCAGAGAGCTGATGTCCCAGCACACCACTGCCTGGGCCCCTTCCAGTCAGAGTGGAGCCCCCTCCAACCAGCTTCCTGGTGCCCTTCAGATAAAAACAAAAGCACATCTCACTGTCACCATCTACACCCCAGCCTCCCTTGCACCTGGCTCCCCTTGTCCTCCCTTCTGGTCATGCTGGTCTTTCAGTCCCACCTGCTAGCCTAGATCTGCCCCCTTCACAGGGGTTCTGAATAGGCTGCTCCCTCTGCCTGGGTCCCTCCTCCCACTTTCTCAGCCCAGCTAACTTCTACCAATAACTCAGGTCTCTGCTTAAGCGCCACTTCCTTGAAGAAGCCTACCCCAACCTCCTGACGGATCCCACCCCCTGGTATAAGGTATCACTGCTCTGGGCCCCTCTCCCATGTCACACCTATGAGAGTCGGGAGTTTACATTTATAATTATTGATCAATGGCTCTTTCCCTTTTCCAAAAAGATCTTTACAGAAAGTGAATTATTTTATGCACCCCAAACATGTATAATGTAAAGAAATTGCTATGGGAGAACTGAAAGAAAGCCACAGCGAGACAGGGCCCTGGCTGACCAGGAACTTAGAGCCTTGACAAAACACATTCCTACACACAGACGAAAAGGCAGTGTATGAAGCATGCCAAGTGGAGCTGAAGGCATTCAATGGAAGAACTAATTTCCACTGCATGAATAAATCTGCGGCAAGTTTATGGAGGAGGTGGTCTGGAGCTGATCCTGAAGGAATGGCCAGAATTATGTACAGCTGTCCAGGAGACAGAGGCCTATTCCAGAGAGGGCTCAGCCAACCATCTTGTTGGGAGCCAATAAGAGGAGGTGATGCTACAAAGACAGGGTAAGGCCAGACTGTGAAGAGGCCTCAAACAGCAGACTGGGGAGTTTGGCTTTGGCTTTTATAAAACAAAGAACAATAAAAATAAATTTAAAAAGAACAACCATCAACAAAATGAAAAGGCAACCTAGGGAGAAGCTATTTGCCAATGATATATTCAATAAGGGGCGAATATCCAAAATGTAAAAAGAACTTACACAAGTCAACATGAAAAAGCTTAATAATCCCGTTAAAAAATGGGCAGAAGGGGGGCGCCTGGGTGGCGCAGTCGGTTAAGCGTCCGACTTCAACCAGGTCACGATCTCGCGGTTCGTGAGTTCGAGCCCCGCGTCGGGCTCTGGGCTGATGGCTCAGAGCCTGGAGCCTGTTTCCAATTCTGTGTCTCCCTCTCTCTCTGCCCCTCCCCCGTTCATGCTCTGTCTCTCTCTGTCCCAAAAATAAATAAACATTGAAAAAAAAAAATTAAAAAAAAAAATGGGCAGAAGACAGGTGAAAACATTTTTCCGAAGAAGACATACAGATGACCCACAGAAGCATGAAAAGATGTTCAACATCACTCATCATCAGGGAAATGCAAATCAAAACCACAATGAGATAGCATCTTACACCTGTCAGAATGGCTAACATCAAAAAGACAATAAATAACAGGTGCTGACAAAGATGTGGAAAAAGGGAACCCTCATGCACTGTTGGTAGGAATGTAAATTGGTACAGCCAAAGTGGAAACCAGTAGGAAGGTTCCTCAAAAACTTAAAAATAGAAATACTATTATGATCCAGTAATTTTACTGCTATGTACTTAATCAAAGGAAACAAAACACTAATTTGAAAACACTAAAAATGCACCCCTGTGTTTACTGCAGAATTATTTACAACAGCCAACACAGTGAAGCAATCCAAGTTTCCATCAATAGAGGAATGGATAAAGAATATTACTCAGCCATAAAAAGAATGAAATCTTGCCATTCATGACAACATGGATGGATGTAAAGGGTATTATGCTAAGTGAAATAAGTTAGAAGAAAGAAAGGTCGTACAATTTCACTTCATGTGGAATCTAAACAAAACGAATAAACAAAAAAAGGAGAAACAGACTCATAAACACAGAAAACTGGTGGGTGCCAGAGGGGAAGGAGTTGGGGGATGGGTGAAATAGGTGAAGGGGAGTAAGAGATACAAACTTTCAGTTGTACAATAAATCTTGGGGATGAAAAGTACAGCATTGTATATATATATATATATATATACACATAGTCAATAATACTGTGATAACATTGTTTGGTGACAGATGGTAACTATATTTATCATGGTGAGCACTGTATAATGTACAGAATCACCAAATCACTATGTCGTACACCTAAAACTATTATAACAATGTATGCCAACTATACTTCAATTAAACATTAAATAAAAATGAAAAACAAATTAATTTTTTGAACAGGGGAAGAAACTTGAAAGTAGTAATCTTAGAAGACTAATCCATACACATACACACACATTTACACATTTTCAGGCCCATATCTATAAAGCCAGGAACAAATTCCAACTGACAATAGCTTTCCAAACTCATGGAGCAGATGGAGGCCATTTTGAGCTAGAGATGACAGACACATGGCGCATCTGGACAGAACTCCTTTCGAGGGAAACCAAACGTCTCTAGGTCAGCTGCTGCGAGATACTTGCTGTAGTCAAGAATCCAAAAGCCTTGGCCTGTCTAGAGCAGCCCAGCCCAGGTATCTGTGGGCCACAGAACAGTCTGAGTCTTCTGTTGTAATGTTAAATCCGTAGCTATACTCAGACCAGAATATATTTGAGCCAGTTGTGATTCTTTTTTTTTTATTCTTTTTTTTAAATTTATTTTTGAGAGAGAAAGAGTACAAGAGGGGGAGGGGCAGCGAGGGAGAGGGAGACACAGAATCCAAAGCAGGCCCCAGGCTCTGAGCTGTCAGCACAGAGCCCGATGCAGGGCTCAAACTTGTGAACCATGAGATCATGACCTGAGCTGAAGTTGGATGCTTAACCAGACTGAGCCATGCAGGCACCCCAAGCCAGTTGTGTTTCTAAGGCCCCCTCAGCCAGAGGGTTTGCTGGAATTCTGGTTTCCTAGTTGAATGTGGAAATTACCACCTACAGAACTGTACTCTGCCCTCCAGCTCCGACCCCCACATTCCTCCACGGGTCGTTTCATCCACTCAGAGCTGATAGGACTCAGGCAGGGTTTAGAATGTCTTCCAACTACTGATAAAGGAGGGTGGCTGTCTGGAATGATGCTCTGACATGGCTGGCCAGTAGCCTTGAGGACCCCCACTCCCACCCCCCCGCACTGGCTGCCACAGCAGGCTCCTGGGAAGTGGTGCACAATTTGCCATTCCTTTGATCCAAAAAAGTGCTCTGCAGCCCCTGATCAAAAAGCAGGTGCCCTCCTTCAAGGACTTCAGAGGTCTGATTTTGGGGTCAGGAAGCTAATTTTAGCTACTTGGCTAAGCTTTTGGTTACGCTTTGGTTAAGTTTTTCTGATATTAACTTTATAGCACTCTCAGATAATTTTTCAGGAGGTCACGCACATATCACGCATGGTACAGACAGGGGCCTATGGAGGCATGCTGCAGGTTCCAAATGCCCCGCTTAGGTAGATTATGGATTATATTATCCAATTTCAATAAAATGACTCTCATAAAATGGACAAATGGCTAAAGAAATTCCTGTAGTGAACTTTATTTAGTACATGTAACATCAGCATAAGCAAACAGGAATATGGAAGAACTAACACTTCTATGAGAAACTAATTTCAGACACATAAGGAGTAAAAACAATAAGGATAGAATCAGATCTAAAAAGAAATTAGTCCACGGGCGCCTGGGTGGCTCAGTTGGTTAGGTGTCCGACTTCGGCTCAGGTCATGATCTCACAGTTCATGAGTTTGAGCCCCGCGTCAGGCTCTGTGCTGACAGCTCAGAGCCTGGAGCCTGCTTCGGATTCTGTGTCTCCCTCTCTGCCCCTCCCCTGCTCATGCTCTGTCTCTCTCTGTCTCAAAAATAAATAAAACATTTAAAAAAAATTTTTTTAAGAAATTAGTCCAAATAATTCAAAATTATAAAAATTGTTTGAATTATGGATTTTCCTCCACTATCTCTAATGGTAATTCTTTCATATGGATCTGTATACTGTGTGCTGTGCAGTACTGCAAATACTGGGAAGATGTTATAATTGATACATATTTAAAATGTTTTTAAATTAATTTTTTAGGGGCGCCTGAGTGGCTCAGTCAGTTAAGCGTCTGACTTCGGCTCAGGTCATAATTTCACGGTTCGTGGGTTCGAGCCCCGCGTAGGGCTCTGGGCTGACAGCTCAGAGCCCGGAGCCTGTTTCAGATTCTGTGTCTCCCTCTCTCTCTCTGCCCCTCCCCCACTCATGCTGTCTCCCTGTGTCTCAAAAATAAAATAAAAACATTAAAAAATTTTTTCTAATTAATTTTTTAAACAAGTGTATTTCACTATGCTCATCCTTTAAATTTTTCTATTTTTTCTATTTTTGTATGTTTTAGAACACGTAATATATTAGTATACAACATATCAGTACATGACAGTATAATGGCAACACAGATCCTAATTTAAAATATATATAATTGAGGGGCGCCTGGGTGGCTCAGTCGGTTAAGCATCCCACTTCAGGGGTTCCAACCTCACCTCCAGCTCTGTGCTGACAGCTCAGAGCCCAGAGCCTGCTTGGGATTCTGTCTCTCTCTCTCTGCCCCACCCCCACTGGTGCTGTCTCTCTCTCTCTCAAAAACAAATATTAAAAAACAATAATAATAAAATAAAATATATATAATTGGAGGTGAAAACTTAAAATGTTTACTATTTATTTCGGGGGCATAGCCAGTAAAGCTTGGAGACCACTTAGAGTCAGCTCAGCAGCCCTGAAGCCCCTTCCCAGTTCCCCTTTCTCACTCAACAAGTCTATAACCAAAGGTGAGCCCCATTCTCCCACCCAGCACAGTGTTGGGGAGAGGCAATTTGAGGGGAGCCTGTCTTCCCCAGCTCCTACCCCTGGTCGCCCTTGGTTCTTCCCAGCTCCAGAGCCCCTACCTGATTGTGCCATCGAATGACGTTTCCAAATCCCCCTGTCCCAAGTCGTTCTTTCATCTCCCAGGCCCCACATGTCTGGGTTGGCAGCGAAGGTGACCAGCTCATACTGAGGATGTGCTAACTCTGTAAGCAATTTGGTGTGGGGGATAAAAGATTAAAGTTAAGAAAAAATGTAACTCAAAGAGAGGGAGAAGGTAAGAGATACCCTTGCCCTTCAATGAGAGAAGAAAAAAACGAGCTGGTTTTCATTTATAAATAAACCATGTTGTCTAGCTTATTTCGGGGTTTTGGTGGCAAACTTGTTTTTCTCACCTTTCCCCCTCCCCCCACCTGGGCTGTTGTAGAAGGAGACAGGCAGGAAAGTCACTGGAAAGAGAGAATACTCCGCCCCCCCACCCCCACCCCCACCTCGAAAGGGCATCCCAGCCTGGACTCCAGCAAGGGGCGCCCTGCCCCGCGCACATTCTGTTTAGGGTGGCTGGGACAGAATCTGTTGCTGAGTTTCCCCATGGTCATGGTCACGTGTTGTCTTCACTCAGTCCAAATGAATCACGGCTCTCTCCCAAAGCCACCCACCTCGAAGCGGCCACCTGTACCCACCCCGCCCAGGGCTGCTCTGGACCTCCCAAGTCCAACCCGCACAAGAGAAAGGCTTCTACGACCGGAAAACCCCGACTTTTAAACTCGACAGAAGTTTCTTCAGCAGCCTCAAGTGAAGAGGTGCCAGCTCGCCGTTGCAGAGGAGACGCAGGGTCTGCAGGTGGCACCAGGGGGTCCCCGCGGCCGCCCAAGGGACTCACCTGTCGTCAGGGACGCAGGGCAGGGGAGCCGTTCCCCGGGGCGGGGGAGGCGGGGCTGAGGTGAAAAAACCGGGGGCTATGGCACCTCCCCAAAGACATTAAAATGCGGGAATCTTAAACCTCCCAGCCCAGCGCGACTTCCTCAAACACTTCCTGCTCTGACGTCACAGAGCACGTGGGCCGCGGCCCGCCCTTAAAGGCGCCGCGGGGGGCGCCAGCCTAGGCCACGCCCCTTGCCCGCGGTCCTAGGCCACGCCACCGGGCAGGACCCCGGGTCCCTGACCCAGGTGATTCAAGGGGGGCAGCATATGGCTTCTAGACGGCCCCGGTCGGACTTAGACAGGCATTGCTCCTTGAGATAAAAGCGGCCCTGAGATGAACCCGAATACGCCCGCGCCCTTTTTAGACAGTGACTTTAACCTGAAGCGGTTTCTGGGACTGGGGAGATGGGGATTTCCTCACTGGAGCCCTCCTGGGGTGAACTTGACACGCTTCCTAGACTTCTAACTAGGTGGAATTTCCCGCGCCCCCGCCAGGATTGATTTAGAGAGTGTTTACAAGAATTGCCGCGGGCCTCCTCTCCTCAGGCTGCATCCCCCTTATCTGGAGGATTTCGGGCTCAGTATCGAGAATGATAAATCGCAGCTGTACTCCCTGGAAATGACAGCCCCCCCCCCACCCGCTTAAGAAAAAAATAAAGAAAAAGGGGGGAAAATCTAGTAGTGTTCACACGAAACTGCAGTTTCAGCCGCAGTGATGTAGGGAAATTGCGAGAGAAACTCGCAGCGCTGAGGTTTATGGTTCAACTCCTACCTACTTGACATAAAATAAGGTCTTTGCTATTGAGTTTCTTGGTTCTGTGGAATTATATTATCACACAAAGGTGTGTGTGTGTTTGTTTACTCAAGCAGGAAAAAATTTATTAAAGGAAACATGAAGATAATAGCTCACATTTATAGAGTGCTTACCAAGGGCCAGGCACTGTCCAAACTGTACCTAGAATTCGTCGTTCAGTCCTCAAGGCAATCCTACAAATTGGACAGTAACTGCATTATTGTTAACCCCATTACACGGAAGAGAAAACTGATGCAGGGAGAGGAAAATATGTCAAAGTCACAGGCCAGTAAGTGGATGAACTGATATTCCAACCCAAGCAGCTAGTTCTTGGGTCCAAGCTTTTACTATTTGGTTAAAAGGGGCATACTAAGAAATTCAAAAGGAGGCAAACTGGATTTTGAATCCTAATACGCTGTTATTGACTACTTTGAGGTTTTAGGGCCAATTACTGAACCACTCCAAGCATGGGGTGGTAACCACTCTTCTTTAAAACGTGGACAACATTAGGTTGAATCACATGAAATTGTCGTTTTCTTTAATGAAAGAAACAAAAACAGTTGTGGGGCGCCTGGATTGCTCAGTTGGTTAAGTGCCTGACTCTGGTTTCAGCTCAGGTCCTGATCTTGGGGTTTGTGAGTTTGAGCGTGGTGTTGGGCTCCATGGCTGCTTGGGATTCTCTCTCTCCCTTTCTCTCTGCCCCTCCCCAACTCTTTGTCTCTCTCAAAATAACTTTATATTTTTTAATTTTTTAATGTTTATTTATTTTTGAGAGAGAGAGAGACAGAGTGCAAACAAGGGAGGGACACAGAGAGAGGGAGACACAGAATCCAAAGCAGGCTCCAGGCTCCAAGCTGTCAGCACAGAGCCCCATGCAGGGCTCAAACTCACCATGAGATTATGACCTGAGGGCAAGTCGGACACTCAACTGACTGAGCCACCCATGCCCCCCTCAAAATAAACTATACATTTTTTAAAATTTATTTTTGAGAGAGACAGAGACAGAGCACAAGTGGGGGCAGGGAGGGCGGGCAGAGAGAGAGGAAGTCACAGACTCCAAAGCAGGCTCTAGGCTCTGAGCTGTCAGCACAGAGCCGACCTGGGGCCGGAACTCACAAGCGGCGAGATGATGACCTGAGCCAAAGTCGGATGCTTAACCGACTGAGCCACCCAGGCGCCCCAAAATAAACTTTAAAACAAACAAACAAACAGGGACGCCTGGGTGGCTCAGCTGGTTTAGTGTCTGACTTCGGCTCAGATAGTGATCTCACTGTCCAGTCTGTGAGTTCAAACACTGCATTGGGCTCTGTGCTGACAGCTCCAAGCCTGGAGCCTACTTTGGATTCTCTGTCTCGCTGCCTCTCTCTGCCCTTCCCCCACTCACGTTCTGTCTTTCTCTCTCAAAAATAAACATAAAAAATTCAAACAAACAGCCAAACAAAAAACAAAAACAGTTGAAACAGCAACAAACATAAGTGGTTTCATCCAGTTCAGCCTAAGAGTCACTGGAGGACAAGAGGGCACACAAGTCAGAGCAAGGAATCAGCAGGGTTATTGTAGACAGAGGAGTTCATGGCCATAGTTATGCCTGACACAGAGGACACTCGTGTCTGCACATACATCAACCCAAACAGATGAGATGGGTCATCGGTACCCAGGGCCACCTGGTATTTCTCAATTTACCCTATCCTCACTGCTAATTAGCACATTCAGTTTCAAAGCAAGAAGAGAAATAGACATAAGTAAATAGCTGTAAAGCATTCTAAGTGCAATATAAGTTTTTATTTAATACATAAAACATTTATTGAACACCTATATATGCTGGCTCTATGTAAAGTCTATTTCCTATATGACATCATAAAATAATTTATCTTCTGTCCTGTCACTTCTGCAAATCACTGTCTATGAGAAACTTTGCAGATCCACAGATCTGCAAAAATTTATTCTGCATCATTATAATTTAAGAGTTCTGGGGGTCCCTGGCTGGCTCAGTCAGTAGAGCATGTGACTCTTGATCTCAGGGCTGTGAGTTTGGGCCCCACATTGGGTATAGAGATTGCATGATAACAAAATCCTTAAAAAAAAAAAAAAAAAAAGAGTTCTCAGTTGCTAAGCTCAAAATAACTTGGTTTTCAACTGAACATATATCCCTCTGGTAAGATCACATATATTTAGATTTTTAAAAATTTGATGATGGCCCAGAAAGGGCCTCCAGATTTTATCATATCCCATGATATTTATCATCTTAAGCCCCATTTTCCGTCCAGATAAGACATGTCCACTGCCTACGTCTGTTTTCTATCCTGCTCTAGAGAGACGTGAGCAAACTGTTTAAAAAAATATTTTCAGATGCAGCAAAAAAAAAAGAAATACTCCTTTTTCTTCCTGCTTTGGGGCTTAATGCTGTTTTAGCAGTGACTATAGGGTAATCAGGAAACACTGAGCAGCCTGAGTGCTTCACACAGTCCCCGGGCACCACCAACACAGGGGATATAAGCAACGTAACTCTCATCAGAGGCACCCAGAATCTTATTAAGGACATAAGACCCACGGAGACCCATCAAGTGATGAGTAATTAGGACCAGGCAATAAAAAAAATCTGTGCTAATTTGTTCTGCTGTGGAGGCAGTACACAGTACTAGTGATAAGGATAAATTTTCTAAGGGGTTTATTTTAAAATAAATTCTTCTTCCGAGAGTAAGTCAGAGATAACTATCTTCTTATGCAGTCTTTTTGTGTCATCAGATGAGAAAACTCTGCTCTCTCACCTGATAGCAGCCAGGCAAAGCAGTACTGAGCTCTTTTGAATGAGGAAAGAATTGTTCTCTGAACAATCTGGAAGCTGAGTCATAATAAGAGAAGCCAGCTTAACAGATAGGAAGGTGACAAAACAGACCACTCGGAATAAGAAGGATTTCCCTCGCACCCCAGAGAGTCAGCTGTGGTTCAGTGATTTCAGCAACTCTCATTATCTTTCCAAGTTTGTTTTACCCCAGCCCTGCAGAGAGAAGACTGCAAGTCAGGACTTGCTCCTTCAACAAACAAAAATTCTGCCAGAAAAGTTGGAAAACTCGTTAGTTGGAAGACTTGAAGGAACGGCTTTTCTTCCAGGGGAGTTGGGAGATGGGGATGGGCTGATGGAGACTGAGGGTGAACAGGAGCATCAGCCAGGACCCCTCAGGGATCAGCGCTGAGCTAGCTGCAGAAGAAAGAAAAAGAAAACGTGGCTAACTTCCATCTCTGTGAATGAGATCTGGGCCAATAGTGAAACTTTAGAGAAGCAGACCCTGTGGGGCCACTGTGCCTCAAATCTTGCATGAAGCACTGAAAGCTGAGGATTTAGGGCACTGAGTCACCCTTTCTGGAGAAAGATAGCTTGAGGGAGGAAAACACTTTGCATGTTCCCCTCATTTTTACACACACATATGTTTATTCCAGTAAATCAAACTAAAGAGAAAGAAGTAACTAAAGGACAGCTGCCCACCCCTTGGCAATGATGGCAGGGAGACCGTGAATATGGGCTGGGTGTATGTTTCCTGGCAGATATGTTTCTTCTTTCACTTTTGTTCTGAGCTTTTACTCCATGGAAGCAGAGATTTCGTTCACTGCTACATTCCCAACTCCTGTACATGGTAGAGATGTGACTCAATGTAAATTTACTGGCTGACTGACTGACTGAATGAAAGAATCAGCCAATGTGAAGATATTGTATACTTTAGTACTTGGTTATACATGGCATCTGGAGTCTGAGACACGGGTTCTTTTTTTTGTTTTTAATGTTTATTTATTTTTGAGAGAGAGAGAGCACGTGTGAGATGGAGGAGGGGCAGAAAGAAGAAGACAGAGGATCCAAAGCGGGCTCCACAATGACAGCGGAGAGCCCGATATGGGGCTCTAACTCATGAACTGTGAGATCGTGACCTGAGCCGAAGTCAAGACACTTAACCGACTGAGCCACCTAGGTGCCCCTGAGAGACATAGGTTCTAATGGTAGCTCTGCATTTTCTTGGCTTTGAAGACTCAGGCAGTTTATTAAACCTTACTGCACCTCCGTTTTCTCATCTGTAAAATGGGGGCTGATAAAATTTACTCCCCATGGTTCTAAGGTATAAATGAGATTATACAAAGTGTCTAATATAGAGTTTGGTGCTTATTAAGCCCTCTGAGTCGTAGTTATTAATGCTATTATTTTTTAAATGCAATAATCCCAAAGTCAGCTGAGGTCCCTGTGTTCTGTGGTTCAAAATGAAAGGGTTTCAAACCCCCCTCTGCCCCTTACAGTGAAAGCTTTCCAGTCCTTGCACCTTTCGCATC